TCAGCCTGCAGTGCTACATTTAACCACTGCGCCACCACAGGAGCCCCCAACACGAGTGATGTTTAGCTGGCCACCCCCACCCAGCCCCCCAAGGTCAAACACAACCCTGATGCAGCCCTCAATGAAATCGAGTTTGACACCCCTGTTCTAGAAGCTTATTTAATGAGTTAAATTGCTATCTTACCAGAGGCATGGAAAAAAATGTACATATACATACCGTACATAAAGGGTTTTTTTCCAACTAGAATATTTTTGTACATGCATAACAAATGTACTAATTGACAGTTGAACTAATTAAATATAAACAAATACAGCAACCATCTTGGGGAAAATTGCAAATACTTCTAATGATGGCCCGAAGCCAAAGTAGCCTACAATGAACTGTCTGGTGGCAGTTAAATATTAATTATTCAACAGAAGCTGGTTCTAGACAGATTGCTCTCAATGCAATTATTCAAAAGGCAGCATGCAGGTATTCCCTCTTTAGTGAGGTTAGATTAATCAACAGACTTTTCAACATGAACCCAGAATGGGGTCTAGGGAAAAAATCCCACATAAACAGGGCAATAGGTTTGGGAAAGTTGCTCTGAATGTCTGTTGCCTTATAAAATTCTGTGCAAGTATGGTGGTATGTAATTGAATAGTAAGAGGCTTGAGTAAAACGGCATAAGCACATAAGGCATACACATACATTTAATGCAATGGGGTCAAGATTGAAGTCCCAAACATCTCCAATGGAATCATCCAATGCATCTTCAATTCTCTTCAGCTGGGAAGTATATGCTTCCAGGAATTTCCCATAGTTCTTTAACTGCACTTCAGCATGGATTTCTAGGAGTAAACAGTATTTTCATTATAATATTTGGAAATATGCAGATTAAGCTTGGAATCATAAAAATTACCTAAATTCAAGCAATTCCTTATTTACTTTTTTAAAAAATCACTCCAAGTTCCCTCCTCCATTTTCTTCACAGTTTTTTTGCTCCCAATCTGTTATTTTAATATTATTAAGCAATCTATTATAAGGCTATACAATAATAATAATTTTAATATTGTAGCAAAAAAATAACATTTCACCACAAGTCAGTCATTCTGCTATTTTGATAATGGAATTTATTGCAGGAAGATTGATGAAACAGATTTCAAACACTAACGATCCAGTGAAGTCTCCCTAAAGCAGAAGTTTTACATTGATGAGTTACATTATTTTATAAGTTTTACATTGATATTCTAATCAACTGTAAGGTATCAGGCTGGGGATGAATGAACTATAAATTGCATTATTAATGTTTAAGAGGGTACTTGCATGTTGCAGTTTTGTATTAGTACAAATAAACATTCTTTATTTAAATGTTTAATCAAGGAACTGGAATCACAACAGGCAAAACAGGAATCTGTTTTTCTTTTTATATACTACTAAACATGGTTGCTTACAATAAAGCACTTTAAATTCGTTTTAGTACAACCAAAGAGACTGAATTTTAAAAGACTCAATTGCTTTATGATTTCAGCAACAATATACAAGTGACTTAGAGATGTAAATGCACATTATGTTGTAATATTGACAAGGCAATTTATAACCAAATGTCAATGCAAAGGCAAAACTACTCAAATAAATTCATTATGACATTTTCTGGGTAATTATTATGCAATATATTTGATAAGATAGTTTTGTAATTAAATATTTCATAAGTGACAAAATATGTATTTTATGCATGATAATGAAAACATGTGTGCAGAATATCTCTAAGAATGGTATATATTCTAATTAATATTCATATCATGTTAACACTCGCAGTTCATGCACATCTGTAAAAAAAGTTCCCAAATATAAATTAAACAGACTATCAAGTTCTAATTTCTGCAAATTAAGGGGAGAGATGCATCCACCAAGCCCCTTAATTACTTCAGCATGACTTCATATTTCAGCTAAAGCAGAGCACAGCTGCAAGAATAAAGTCTTTATCCAAAAAGTATGTGTAAAATTTGGAGAATATCTTCCAGTTGCCAGAAATAACACAAAAATAAAATAAACTATTCTGGAACAATCAAGTGAGTCGGAAACCAACAGAAAGCAAAGAGGAAGTAAAGTGCTATCAACAGGGAAATTGCTGTTGAAGAGAGAAGAAAACATAATCTCAAGTGGGAAGAGGGAAGGGCCTTTACTGGAAAAAACATTCTACCATCATAGCAGCAGAAGTCTGTAACATTTAGTTCTTATAACTTATTCAGATAGTCCTCGACTTACAACAGTTCATTTAGTGACCATTCAAAGTTACAACAGCACTGAAAAAGTGAGCTAAAACCATTTTTCACATTTATGACCATTGCAGCATCCCCATGGTCACATGATCAAAATTCAGATGTTTAGCAACTGACTCATATTTATGACAGCTGCAGTGTCCAGGGGTCACCTGATCCCCTCTTGGGACCTTCTGACAAGCAAAATCAACGGGGAAGCGAGATTTACTTAACAACCATGATACTAACTTAACAACTGTAGTGATTCACTTAACAACTGTGGCAAAGAGGGTTGTAAAATGGGGCAAAACTCACTTCACAAATATTTCACTTAACAACAGAAATTTTGGCATCAATTGTGGTCATAAATTGATGACGACCTGGATTACAAAAGACATTGTGCATTATTGTTACATTATTGTTAGACAAAATTATCTCAGAATTAATGAAATATGCAGTGAAGATCTTTTACTCAGCATTCATCTGAGTAAACTTCATCTCATACTTCATCACTCACTACCACTAAAGAA